CAATTTTCTTTTGTATATTCCTGTGGTAATACGAGTCTTAAATTTCATCCATAATGGTCTTAAAAAGTCTTAAATTTGAGATGGTGAAACCTGCAGAAACCCTGGTAACATAAAATTATACAACATAATTTTCTTTCTTTTTTTTTTCAGCCATACTGTCTCAAGTGATCTTTCATTGATAATTAATACAAAATTCAAATTTCCAACCTAGTGAGTTACAACAACATTTAATTTCCTTTTTGGATCAGTAGTTTTGAATTTGTATATTCAAATTTTTGTATTTGTATATAAGGATTTTGTATATTATTTTAGTGAATTTATATCCTCATTCTAACTATAAACAGTGTTTCCATCAATATGCTCATTTTGAAGTATCCCATTTGAAAAGGCTGACGGGAATTTCCCCAACAAGTTTTTGAGCTCAGTTGAGTTGTTTCCGTTTATTATAGCCATGCGCAACATCAACTTCTGACAAAATTATGCTTTGTGCAACCTGTTTGATTCGCTCCAAACCAGTAGACGAAAACACATCTAATTTGCATTTTCTTTTTTGCAACATTTTAAGTCTATCCAAAAGTCGCATGACAATTGGACGTAAACATGTGAGGTTTTCAAAATGTTGCCATTAAGTTCCAAGAAAGCCAGAGGTTGAAAGCTTGAAATAATTAAACATATTTAGCCTTCCCGCTGTCAGACTTGCTCTCTCTCGCTCACCTGCAGCCTGAATGACAGACAACATAGAAACGGATTTATTTTCCAATGACAAACTTTGAGTTTCTTAAGGGCATCTGCACCAAAAAGTCTTGTTTATACTAGAAGGTTGCAGGGCATAGGGGATGTAGCGTTCATCTTCTGGAAAAATACGTTTCCGACGAGCTGAAAATTGGTCATCAGACTATTCCTCAGAGGATTTCTGCTGCAAATAAACTGAAAATTAAATTAAAACTTAATTTGTCCTCTGCTCGTGTTGTTTTCAGACCAGCTCCACAGCGTGCCAATCGCCCAGATGGGAAACTACCAAGACTTCCTTAAATCTGCCCCCCAGCCACTCCGAGACGCAGATCCCGAACAGCCGAAGCGTTTGCACACGTTCGGAAACCCCTTCAAACTGGACAAGAAGGTGCGCCTCGCCCCGTTCACGTCAGCCTTTACGTAGAAGGGAAGAGTACTTCCTAAAGTAAAATGCAACCACCCGATCTCCCTCGCAGGGCATGATGATCGACGAGGCGGACGAGTTCGTGACCGGCCCGCAGAACAAGGGCAAGCGACCGGGAGAGAGCAGCAACATGCCGGGCGGCGGTCCCAAGAGACGGCGCTGCATGTCGCCCCTGCTGCGTCTGGGCCGGGCCTACACGCCTCCGGTGACGCCGCCCGCCAGCCCACGGCACTCGACAGGTCAAATCCGCGGTCTTTCCTTCAAAATAGATGAAAATGGACGAGCAGATCAGCTTTCCGTCGCCTCATCGACGTTTTCTCACAGCTAAACCTGATCGATAACTGATCCTATCTCCTAACTCTCTCACCCTGTAGATATGGACTTAAATGACGGCGCGCCAGAACCTGAGCTGATTATCAACCACCTGAATCAGAACCACTACAGCCCTGACACAAACTCCGACCCCGAGGTGGACCACCCGTCGGGGCCCGCCGACCTCCAGGAGAACCACACCACCGCCGACCCGCAGCTTCTCCGGCACAAGGACGAGGAGGAGAACGGGGTGCCTGGGTCGTGCGAGCCGCTGGGCGGCGAGGGAGGAGTGGAGATGGTGCTGATGGCGGACCAGACGACCCGCTTCCTGTCGCCCGCCGCCCTGAAGAAGCACATTCATGGCGAGACGACGAAGGTCAACAACGAGCTGAGGGTGCTGATCACCAAGGAGATCAGAAAACCTGGCAGACGTACGTACATGTGGGGGATCAGGACTGGTCATGCAGAAATGGTGGCCGACAGACCGTGAGCATATTATAAGAAAGTTTAGTGGAAGGAAAATGTGCGGTTGAAACAAATGCCAAATTACTGTTTTTGTCAAGCTGTAAGTCATTGTTATTAACAGAAATGAACACTTGAAACATATCACTCAGGCGATAAAGCTTCTCTTTTTAAATTGAATTTCTGAAATAAATGACATTTTTAATTCTATTCTGATTTATTGATATGCGCTTGTAGACATGAGCACATTTAAGGTGAGCAGAAATGTCCTTGTAGCTTTTTCCTGACTTACAGTCAACAGCCAGTTTTAATATTTGGTTAGCTTGTTCTCTTGTTTTTCCAATTTTGAAGAGTGGCTTGGTGAAATGGGCCTCAGTCTCATGTTTATACTTTAATGAAAGATAAATTTTATCTAGTTAGGACAGGAAGAGAGGCAGTGTGTGATTCATAACTGTAGGGGGCGCTGTAGCTTTTCCTGATCTATCTAAGCAGTTGAGCATGACTTAAATTATTATTCAATTAATAACAGGATTAAGTTTTTCTCATTAAGGAGTTGGGTTGAAGGAACTTTGCCTTTCTTGTGTTTCAGACTACGAGAAGATCTTCGTCCTCTTGAAGCAGATCCAGGGAACGCTGGACACTCGGCTCATTTTCCTCCAAAACATCATCAAAGAGGCCGCCAGGTAGCAGAGCTGCACTTCTTCTCACAGCCCAGAGTGACAATTAGAGCTATTAAGTAGATTCTTTTACCAACGTTAAAACCACCGGCACACTTTAAATTCTCATTAACTCGAACAAACCAAACACAACTCAGCTGCTCTAAGCTTTTAGTCATGGAGACGCGGTGAAGACGATTTGCTGGAGTTCATACTGAGCATCAGAAAGGAGATCGAAGTGATTCTGAACACAGCGTGGTGGTTCATGTCTGCACAGCCACTAGATCCAGTTGGATCACTTGAGGGATGCGCTGGACCGACAGAATCAGTTCATGAAGTTCAGCTGACAAATCTGCAGGAGCCTTTCGTACCAATACAGTGTACCTAATAAAGTGGCCCTTTTGGGTCTAGGTTTCCCCTGCACATTCTTTTTTTGAACACCTTTGAAATATTCATGTTTTGCTACATAGAAACAAATAGATAATTATAATACCTTGCAAAAGTATACGCACCCCTTAAACCTCACATAACACTACAACTTCTACAGTTAATGTGTTTTATGAAGGTTTTATGACAAACACAGATGAAAAAATTGTACATGGTCTTAAAAGACCTTTTTTATTCAATAGGTAAACTAAAAAGTCTTGGGTTGCATTTGTAATCAGCCCCCCTAACTCTTACGCTCTTAAATAAAGCTGATTGCTACCACCTTATTAAATAAAAACCTCAATAGTAAGTTTGGCAATGTACCGTGACGAAAATTAATAAAACATCATAAAAACATCTAGTTTAGCTTTCAGTAGGTGTAAACGATGTTGAAAATGTAAACTTTAAATTTTTTATTATTTTTTTCATCGTCAAAGGTTTAAGAAGAGAGTTCTCATCGAGCAGCTGGAAAACTTCCTCGAGGAAATCCACAACCGATCCAACACCATGAACCACGTGGACATGCTCTGAGACCAACTCAAACTGCACAGACTAATAATAATAACAATAATAATAATAATAAAACCCTCCGCATCCCTGTGGAAACAACCACTCCCCCCCTCCTCAACCAAGACCCAAAGACGAGACGCAGCGGAGTCCGGGATCTGGAATACCGAGAGATCCCTGGTTTGACATTTAATCTACAGGGCCGGGTATCAAGACGGGAGCGATCGCATCTCATGACCCGGGTGGAGTTGAAGACTTTTTTTCTTTTTTTTTGTCCCAGGGAGGATCTGATGATGATGATGAGTGTGATGTTCAGTTGTTGTTTTTTTCTTTCCTGTGAAGATGTGGCGGACAGAGTTCAGTCTGAGCGTTGCGTGTTTCCAGATATCTCAGGGTCGTAAGGGATCCAGTGAAGATGTTTTTTTTTTTTTTTTTCCTTCCACAATAATTTCTTTTCCATCATCTTCCCCCACCGCAACGTAGTAGGTATTACTCTCTTACATTTCTGATTGCGAGGGGAGTGATGAGAGGAAATCCGATTTGTTCCAATCGAATTTCTACACTCCACCGACCAGAGGCACTCCGCTCCTCGGCTCTCGAACAGACAGAATCTGATTTCAAGGTCACCGTAGTCGATTATCGACGTAATGATTTAGGTGTCGGACGAAGTCGGCGGTTTTCAAGGATCCTTTAAGCCTAGAAAGGTTTGTTCTGCAAAGCAGAGTTACAGCAAACTAAATGCAAAGGTAGGTCATGAAAACAGGGACAAAAAGCTCAGGAACCGTCATTAATGCATCAGCGTCAGCAATAACATCGAGTCCCCCTCCCCCACCTATTTATTTATGCCCCGAAAGGGCTGATATGCAACGTGAGCTGGAAGCGATGATGAAGAGGGGTCTTGGTTCCTGCCAAATTACTGAACAAACCCCCATCAACTACCCCCTTCTCCCCCTGTCGGCCACTGATCTCAAACCAACTTCGTCACTTCACCGCAATTGCACTTGTGTAAATTTGAGAATTATTATTTAATGTAATTTAAAAGAGGAAAAAAATGTTGTTGTTGTTGCAATTTCTGAGAAAGAATGGGAATCCATATTCGGCGTTCTCAAATGTACACAAACTGACCCTTGTTTTGGGTCCAGAGGTCAAAAGTTGATTTCCGAATCCAGTGGCTCCCCTCTTCCTCTGCAAACTCTCCCCGGATAGGGACCAAAATCTGCCATACTTGTCTTTTATGTGTGAAGAGGCCGCTACCAAAAGAGTATTTTGAATACACTGTAAAGATGTAAATAACCCTAGAGTACTATTTAAAAGAAAAACAGAAATGTTCAGTGGAAAAAATGGCCTTTTTGTAAGTATTTCCATAAATAAAGTTTCTATTTTACACTGTGAAGGGCCATGTAAATAAAGTGTTCCATAAATGTGTGACTCCTTGAGATTTTTTTTGTTCATTAATGTAAATAACAAACACACCCACTGTGTAAAAACATATTAAAATTTTATTTACAGGTATTTACAAAAATAACATCCCTCTTCCTGAAGTGTCCTCGTATCTTCCGTTTGGTCCATAAATAAATACAGAGGGTGAAACTGGTTGGCATGGATTGGTGCGATTTGGGGTGGTGGCGTTGAGGAGGGTTATATTCCTTGGTCTGCTGGGTTCATTATTCTGCCCATAAACAGGATGGAACCTGAAAGGAAAAACATAAATGTTTTGCTAAAAATAAAAATAAAAAGCCTGAAGGCAAAACAAAGTCTGATTCACTGCAAAAACGACAAAAAAAATCTTAAGTATTTTTGGTCTATTTTTGGTTTACCCAGATTTTTACAATCTGGGTAAAAATGTCTCATCATGAGTGAAATAATATCAATATTAAGGAATATTTTTACTTAAAACAAGCACCTGTATCTTGCTGAAAAGTTACTTGTAAGTTAGTTTTGTTGTAGTGTATTAAGATATTTGCTCTGGAATTATTCGACAAACTGATTTTTAACTTCCATCCACTAGAGGTCGCCAAATATCTATTTTTTTTAAATACCGCAACTTCATAATTTTTCTGTTCCATCATGAATCCAGAGTCTCTGAATGCTAACTTGCATTTTCCGCTTTTCTTAAGAGTTTAATTTGTTTTCAGTTTTACTCATTGTTAAATATCATCGTTAGGACACAATTTATGAGTCTGGCTACTAGAAATGGCGATGACAGCCCTTTAAAAATGCGAATCAGAGGACCCTGAAACGAGAAATAGAAGGAGCTACTTGTGTTTTATGGAGGTAGAGAGTATTCACAGTGTACATACCTGTGTTAACCTGGCGAAGCAGAAATAAAAATGGCCGGTCCGCCTTGAAAACGGGAGCGCGCGACCGTTTGAGTAGCACCATAGCTGGAATGATAAAAACTAACCGTTAAACGTCCATCCGCCATATTGACTCCGGCACTTATCAGTAGCAAGACATGACGCTACAGACCTGTTGCAGCAGCTGCTTTCGTCCCATCTTCTGCAACTTCTATTCTGACTTCATGGACGGCATCGGACACATAAAGACCCTCTTCCGCTGCAGGAAGTGAAACGGAGCAGCGGCCATCAGCGGCGCTTGTGGAAATGGCTTTCTGTTAAAACCGCACGAGGAATCGGATCAACTGACCTGATATCCCCGTGAAGTCGGCTGCCGTCGGGTTAAAGGCGTCACTGACGCCCAGAGCAGGAAGCACTGACCTCAGGCTGAACTTGTTCTGCATTCTAAATCTGAAAAATAAAAATAAAACACATCATATACAGTCTGAGCTGGGTTCTAGATGTTGTAACCTTAGAACGAGGGATTTCACCTGGGCAGGAAGATGTCCATCTTGGTCCTCCGCAGACCGGACTCCCAGGAGGCCAGCTGGCGGGCGGTGAGCTGGGACTCCAGGGAGGACAGCGGGCTCTTCCTGTCGCTGGGCAGGACCACCTGCAGGCTCAGGGCGCGGCCCAGGTACGGCAGCTCCAGCACGGTGTAGCGCTGGTCCGATGAAGTCCTGAACTGACCTGAGGGGGAAAATCCCCAAAACAAGGAGCTTCTTCAGACTTTGTTACATTACACCCATAAACTTCAATATACATATATTACTGGGGTTTTAGTGGTTAGACCAAATATGATGTAGTACATAGTTTTCAGTGGCCAATCAAGAGCACCTGTGTCAGGTCTAGTTAACTAATGAACTAGACCTCATAGGTCTAGTTCATTAGTTATTCATTAACAAAACCAGTTAAGAAATTTTTGAAAACATGTATTTTTAGGGGTATTTTTTTACTAAGCTGTACTAATTTTACTAGGAAGTATCGTTACTCTTACTTGACTAAAATGTCTGGACATTCGACCCACTTTGAGTAACTGAACGAAGAACAAGCTTGTTTTAACCAAACATTCACAAGACACACACACACACACACACCTGCAGGTTTGTTAAAGTGTCATAACTTTTACACTGAAATAAACTGATTTGTAAATATTTTATAATTATGTTATTCATCTGAAATGATGTCATTTTGGTCCTTAAAATAACCAAAATAATTGATCAGTTATTCAGCAACTAAGCTTTTCTTTTTACCAAATACCTTTTTTTTTTTACTCAAGTCATTTCTTGGATGGTTGCTTTTTGCTTTTACTTGAGTAAACATATGTGAAGCAGTGCTACTCTTAACATTTTTGGCTACCGTACCCACGTCTGGTGGTAACTATCTGGCAAGGAGACAAAACTCAAAACCAGACCACTTTCCTTCAACATTTAACTATTGACGTACAGCCTATAAGGGAGGATGTGCTCTTACCAAAGCTGACCTCTCCAGCCTGGTACATCATGGGCACCTTGACGGCGCTCCCGTCAGTCAGGACGAAGGGCAGGTTCTGGGTGTTGCCGAACATGAACTGCTTCTGCCAGACGCCCCTGAACGCCACCGTGTTGACCAGGGCCACCTGAGGCTGTTGTCCCCACCAAAGGGCTTCTGCCTGGGCTTCGCCGGAGCCGGACATCTCCCCGCTGCTGCTTCCTGACTGGAGAGACCCCGACCCATCTGAACAAAACAAAACAAAACAGTTTAGGTCCTTGTCTTATCAGCATGAGTTCGATTGAAACAGGAAGGCTGGAGAAACAGTGGAGTTTTTCTTATTGTAGTTGCAATACTTAAGACGGCAAATTCAATTCTGCTGTGTTTGTGTGTGAGGAGGACTGGTTCGCATGACTCTGCAATAACAAGACTCCAAAGAGCTGAGATGTCTGCCGGTGTTGACAGCTTAGTAGTTTTATCAGCAGATTTCGCTTCTCTTTGATCGCATTCAAGCAAGACAAGTGCTAAATGGAGCAGCTTGTCTCCAGCTCTTCCTCTGCTCTGCTTAGTCAGCATAGCAGCTGGTTGTAGTTTTAAAGATCTGTGGTGAGTGATGCATTTACGAAGAAAATCCCATTTGTGATTGTGTCTGTGATTTGAGTTTAGTGTCTTGCGACAGCATTCCATCACTTTACAGCCACAAACATGCAGTTCCAGACAAACAAGTGGAGAGTCGTCACAGAGCAACTCTCAACCTCCATATTATTGTCATTAATGTCAAATGTTAAGCGCTGCTGCCGCGGCAGCTGATGAAGCGGTCAGGTTTACCGTAGCCGTGTCCCGTTGGCTCTGAGTGGCCTCGAGCGAGACCGGGTTGGCTGAAGTTGGCTCGCACCACGCTGGTGTCGACCCAGGCGGCAGCGTGCTGCGTGAACTCGGCCAGGAGTCGGACCCCGCTCTGGACGAACAGCGTGCAGGTCTGCTGCAGCCACGCCCCTTGGCTGCTGTTGCTCACGTCGCCCTGGGCGTGCAGCAGGAAGTCTCGCACCTGAGCATCTGCAGGGGAGAAATAAGTCATATGAGACGGTGCAGAGCTTGGATTTTATTTTGCCTTTTTTTGTTGTTGTTGTTCAGGAGCAATTATTACTGTTATTGGTACTGAAATACACTTCATTCTCTGTGAGAAAATATGTTTTAAGACCTAAGTAAACCATTCGACATTCAAGCTGCAGCAGCAGATTGATTTATTTCCCTACACATCCCATAAAGACTCCATCAAACTAATAGCATTCAGGCTGGAAAGTGCTGCAGTCTGCGGGTTGTTTTGAAGCTGAGAGGGTAAGAGCATTTCAACATAACGCAAAGACCATCTCCTCTCCATTATTCACCATTATTAGAAGCTTGTTGTAGAATATTTCATTTTTTTGTCTGAAGTGTACATTTAATTTTCTCCGGTAATGACTAAGCTTATCCGTTTTAGACTTTACGGTGACTTCTGTTTGTTTTTTTTAAGGGAGATTGTCACCTTCCTAATTGTTAATGGCTTTAGCAAAAAAAAAAAAAAAAATCTTTAATTTCCTTTTGGGATCAATAAAATATTTTTGAATTTCAATTTGAATTGAACTGAAAATTTTTAAACTGAAAATAAAAATTTTCAAACTTAAAAAAAAAAAAAAGTTTGAAAACTTTTTTTCTAATTTTGTTTTTATTTCTAATTTTTTTTATAGCCCCTTTAAATTGCCCTCCTTGAATCTCACCTCTAGCTAACCTGTGAGCTAATACCCCTGGGAGGAAAATAAAATAAAAAAAAGATCCTCATCAGTCACATTTATTGGTAAGGAACCACATTGGCCTCCTGATCCGTCTCCTGAGGCCAAGCCGCAGGAGTGGTTAATGAGATTAGAGCTGGTGTGGAGGCCGGTATTACGGCTCCAGACACCACTGTGCTCTGCGGGGGCCAGCCGGCAGCAGCAGCACCGCTCCACGCCACCTGGTACCAACGGCGCTGAGCGCCACCGACAAAAACCCTCCACTTCTCACAGCAAAATGAGCTGCTAACGCGAGTCCGACGCCCACTTTTTTTTTTTTTTTTTTTTTCCCCTCCTTTCCACGAAGCCTAGATACCGTTCACGTTGTATCCCAGCGTTCCCTCCAGCTGAGCCCGGGTGTTGCCCCTGGCGCCGAGCTGCAGCAGGGCCAGGGACAGGGACACGCTCGCTGGGGACGCGATCAGGTTGGAGCGGTTCTCCGCCTCGGTGAGCGTCTGGTAGAGGCTGACGGCGAAGCGGTTGTGGAGCTCCCGCATGCTGTCCTGAAAGCTGCCGGTGCAGTGGCTCCTCTCGGCCAACCAGAGGAACACGAAGACGGAGGCCAGAGGCAGACGACGCATGTCCTCAGGTGGAGGAAGTGTCCACGGGGCTCAACTCGGTGGTCCGACAATCAGAGCTGTAAGATTAGAGGTGATAAAAGTTTTCAGCTGGGGTCAGAAAGGTCAGACATTCACGGGAGAGCCGGTCAAACACCGGAACTGGCATCTTATGTGCAAGAAATAATGTGAACAACTTTATTAAGCAACTTGAAGTTACAACATGAAGAAGCCCCACCTGTTTGGAGTTGCTTTTGAATCATAATCAATGGCACTTTGATCGACATGTTTGATGAATTTGACAAAATGTCATGTTTATTGCTGGTTATGTTTTTATAAAGCACATTATTGCTGAAATGTGCTATACAAATAAACTCATCCTACATGTGCATACAGACGCTGTCAAAAAATCTATATTTATTTACTGCATCATTAAAAATACAATCAGTGGGAGGAAAAAGTAATTGAAATTCTTCAAGTTTCTGTTTCTAGAAGACTTTAGGAACACTTCTGGATGACTTGATAGCTGGAGTTAATTTCGTAGATGAAATAAAACTTTACCTGTGGACAGGTAAGGCAGTAGCGGTTCAGCCGGCTTTCTGCTCCGTCCCCCAGCTCTCCTTGTCACCTAGTCACCGCCTCTGTCCCGGGTTATCAGCCTCCAGCTCAGTCTGCCCGAAACGCCCGTCTCCCTGAAACGGTCATGAGACGGTGTTTAAAGGGAAAACTTTCTTGTTTGCGGTTGCCGTCGGCGATGTCCGTACCAATCGTCCGGTATTCCTGCCTCCTCAGGGGCTAAAAAGAGCCAGGCGGAGGGAGGCATGTCACTGACCAGCAAATCCCAAGCTGGGCAGAGGGGAGAGAACACTCCTGATAATGTGTGTGTGTGTGTGTGTGTGTGTGTGTGTGTGTGTGTGTGTGTGTGTGTGTGTGTGTGTGTGTGTGTGTGTGTGTGTGTGTGCATATAGCTGGCATGCATATTCCATTGAGAAAGAAAGACATTTTCCCATTCAGCTTTATCAGAAAACACATTCCAAAAGGATCAATTTTATGCAAATTGGGGGACTTTTGTAATTGTATTTTTCTGACCTCTACTTTGAATCAAGTTTGAAAATTAAACAGATCTTTCATTCACTTTTCCATTTTTTCGTTTTATTGCAGTCGACAATAATTTTTAGGTTGCATGTTGTGTTAGTTAAATTAAGTGTATCTGATTAGTACGGACACACTCACATGGGTCATTATCAACGCAGCCTCACTAATTACTGGCTATAACTAAGGCTAACTTTTAAGAACACCAAAGATTACAGTTAACGTTAAAATAATGTTTTATCAGTGTTTGGAGAACATTGTGTAAAGGTTACTGCCAATGTTCAATTACCCTTAATCAGTGTTCAGGGAACAATGGATAAAGGTTACCGTTAGAAAGAGCAGGTATTGGAGAACATTAGCTAAAGCTTTTAACTAATGTTTAGGTAAACTTTGGCTAGTGTTCAAGGAATTCTAACCAGATGTTAGAAGTAACAGGTAGAATAGCTAACCTTTCAGCATTAATTGGAGAAGATTAGCTAAAGGTTTCAGCTAATATTTAAATAAAAAAATTGACAGTATTTAGAGAACCTTCGGTGAAGATTTCAGTACCTTTTCAGTTTCATTTAAGATTTGCATAAGGGTGTGCATAAGACTGACATGACACCGTCATAAGCATGATATAACATCTGTCATAAACATGATATTACACCTGTTATGAACATGAAGGAGTCTTTATGAATGTCTATGACTGTTTTCATGAAGTGTCAGTCAGTAAATAATGACACATTCAATGCAAAGTTGCTTTAAACGTTGCATTAAAAGTCCACTAGAAGTGCCAACTTTGTATTATTTTGTAAAGAATGACACTTTCATGCAAAGTTGGCACTATTAATGGACTTTCAGTGTAACTTTTAGAGCAAAAAACAGTCAACAAAGAAATGTAAGACGTTGATTGGTGCATGCCCTTTATTTACCCTAAAGCCCATCCACTCTGGAGTATTTCCCCCCCTCCCTGAGCCGTCCCTCCTAATTGGGGCCGTGACAGTCAGCGAAATAAAAGTTCCTGGTATTTTTCCCATGAAAAAGAAGAGAGCATGATTGGTAGCCATCAGGTATTCAGCTGCTTTGTTTGACGGCAGATTCCGGCCATTACTGGAGTCGACTAATTAGAGAGAAGCTGCGGCGCGGGGGCTTCATTAAGCAGGGCTGCCGCATTCTTCAAAAGCTCCAACTCCAAACGCAGGAATTTGGAATTTGAGGACTTTGATGGAGAAATTGAGAAGTCACAGTAAAAGACCGAGGACAGTTATTAAAAAAAAAAAAAAACTAATTGTAAAGAAGAAAAGGTCATGCACATGTCATCCACATAGAAGACACAGTTTCCCTGACTCATCCTGCTCCACCTCCAGTGTCCTACATCCCTTCAGGCTCCAGGGATCGCCAGGCCGCTGAAGGATCAGAGAGTGTGTGCCATGGTGACAGGCTGCCACAAGGCCACGGCTTCCAGAACAATCTGCAAAAAAACAAAAACAAAAGAGAGAGAGTGATGATGGAGCCAACGGTGGGATCCGCTCACAGAGGTTCCAGCATGTGCACCACAAATCTGGAACAAACTTCAAGAAAACTGTCAAACTGCTGAAACACTGACTTCCTTTGAATCTCGGCTAAAAACGCCCCTTGTTTAGAGTTGTATTTGAAACGTAATCAATTACGAATGTAACAATGGCACTTGGCTTAATGTAATGTTTTGATTGTTGATTCTATGTTGCATGACTTTGTATTTTTGTTTTTGTTATGATGTAAAGCACTTTGAAATGCCTTGCTGCTGAAATGTGCTGTACAAGTAAAATTTTATTGATTGACTGATTGATTGATGGGCCTAAAGAACCATACAAAAGAACAACAACAATTCTGCTTTTCAATTTTAATTGAATAGAAAAAAGTGGAGAAACACTTCAAATATTTGAGGTGCAGCATTTGTGGCACGTTTGTGAAATCAGAGTAGTGATCTGGAAAGGCTGATCCGGTGCTGTGACTCCACAGCGCCACCAACTGATTAAGACACTCACCTCCAGGCAGGAATTTAATTCTGAGGAAAAAGTTAAACGACAAGTCTGAAAAATATCTTAAACTCAGTAAATTTCCTCATCTTTAAAACGTTACCAGAACAAAACCTTATTTATTTATTTATTTATTTATTTATTTATTTTTATTTATTTTTACAAAATAAATCAAAGTAGTACTGGCCTCTGTATGTAAAAAGAAAATGAAAAACTCCCTTTAGTCAAACTAATTGATCGATATTTAACTAAAAACATTCAGAAAAATTGATTATTGGGGTTTGTTTGACATCTACAACCTCATCTGGATCTCTTACATAAGTCCTTCACACATAAACACTTTTTCTAGTAACTCCTCCAAGATTTCTTGTACTAAATCAACTCAAAATACAACAAAGTACTTTGGTTGTTGTGACTTTCGAAGTTTTACTTCATTAAATGTTTTGATTCTACAAAATGTTAAACTCCTGATTTTAAAATCTGCCCACGCACCTCACAAAAGGAGCAAGTTACTACCAAGCGCATGAATGATATTATTAATCACACTGGTCCCATTTCTGGATTCAGAACTAAAAACAAAAAAGTATTTTTTTTCCCCCCCCCACTGTTACCTTACAGCCATACTTCATAGTGCAGCTTAAAACAATCTGCTCTGTGTTCATTTTGTGATGATTGCATCCTCCTCCCCAAAACTCAATATGCTGGCAGTACCCACCACTGTGCAGTACGAACAGACCACACACACACACACACACACACACACAGGTTTTAGTGATCACGCTGAGCAGAGAAGTTTCCAACACACATACAAACACACTTCCATAAATCATATTCCTGGTAGAAGTTATTAAACGTTTTGAAGAAAGCACAAAGTGAAACACTAGAGGGCAGCATTGTACTGCGCCCTCCATAGGGTTAGATAGGGGTTTAGGGGTGTTCTGTCTATCAGTGCCACCCTTAAATCCGCCCTACCTTGTGGTAATGCGCATGCGCCACGTCACATACTGCTGACTGAGCAGATTTCTTATAAATACGTCCTACCTGTGGAAGTTTCATTTCATGTGTTTTATTTCATCTCAAATTACGGGAAGCTTTATTTAATTTATTTTATACCTGGCCTTCATTAAGCTGCTGTATTACTTCATGTTTTTAGTTTACATGACAGGCAGCATGTAAATATATAAGCTTTAGTTTGCCGTCTGCAATGTCGTTAAACAAGTTATTGTTTGGCGGTTAATCAGGACAAAATACGTTGTCTTGTGGGGTTTTTTGTGCCTATACTTTAAAATATTACAGTTTAATAACACTCGTTGTTGTTAAACTTTGCTAAATAGATGTTGGCGGCGATACTATGTGAGACTGAAGCTGTGTAAAAGCGGTGTAATATTAGTGTGTATGAATTATTCCTATCATTTCAGGTGCACAGTGACCTGCGCAGTTCGGTGGACACATTGCGGCTGCGCTGCATTGAATAAAGTCTGTCATACAGCGCACTAATGCGCAATGTACATGTAACCCAACTAGCTCTTTTAATGAGAGCTCACAAGCATTTCATATAACATGATCAGCAGATGTTAACTTGTAGTAATTTTCCACATTTCCCTCCTTTTGGTTATTAGTAAATATGTAGTATTTAAAATTTTATTCCATCCCCACTGATTATATAAAAGGACATTTCTACCATTTTTATGGTGAGAGGTGAGAAATTATCCCATACATTTCAAGACATTTCATATTCATTATGTCATTGAAACATTATTCTGTATGATGAAAACCTACCGGCATTCATCCACTCATCCCTTGAGTTTCTCCTCGCCAGGGAGACGGTCATCTACATGTTTTGTCATCTTTCATAAAACCTTAAAAGGAGAAATTTGAACTAATGTATTTGGAAGTAAAGTACCAGCAGAATACCAAACCGTTTTCAAAGTAATATTTCCAATTGCTTAAATAAGTCATTATTTTAATCCCAAATTCTTCCATGCAAAATAAGTGCATCTATTTCAATCATTATAACTCCCTAACACGATAATTATGAATAATTTAAGTCTAAAGAAATACATTTATTTATTTATTTATTTATTTATTTATTCAAACACACAAAAGAAAAATTAAACATATTAAGGCCTGTAATTTATCAACAAGAGATTTATGTTCAGCATTTAATTAAAATCAATTCACCCTGAGGAGGAGGTTGTGTGCTGGAACCACTTAGACCCGTTCTTCTAGAACTGGGTGGGATTTCCTCTGTAGACTGCAAACGTCTTCACAGAATCCAACAAATCAGCTTTGTGGTCGCTCTGCCTCTTAATCCTCTAAGAGGGGCTTTTATTTCCAATAAAGGTCTTTAGGATTCTCTAAAGGTTTGGTTCCCTCAATTTAGAAAACCAAAACTCTGTGAATTATGCCGAACAGGATATTATGACTAGTGTGTTTGAAAATTGGTTCGTAAGTCAAACTTAACATCACGGTTTCTGACAATAGGGATGACCTTCATCTGCTCAGACACCAGGCCATGGTATGAGGAAAAATGTATTGGAAAGAAATGTACATATTTTTAGTTTGACCTCAAAAATGAACTTTTCATGTTACCAAAAAAATACCAATTTTTGCTTTCATCATCCTATAAAACATTGCTCATCATTTTTCTTCAGTCCAGTCCGTTGGGCAAATT